AATTTTTTTCCCTGTTGCAGGAACATGGTAATTGCTATGTAATTAGGACTAAGAAAAGGCCTGCTCCACTGATCTTTTCCAGGGAGCTGCCATTGAAACCCGGATCTGCCACCAGATCCCTCCAAGCCTCAGGTTGCTCAGGACTAATGTAAGTTGAGGCTAATAATGCCCACTTTGAGGAGTATGTGAGGGTGAGAATAGGTAGCCTAATTCAGTGGAATGGATAAGGACCTGTTGCTGGTGGTAGTTTTTCAGATTCAAATCCATGCTCTGCCACTTTGAGTAGCCTTGGGCAAGTTATTCAATCTTGCACTGCCTGTTTCTGCACGTGGAAAATGGGGGTTAATGATAGTATCTATCTTGTGGGATTGTGGTACAATTCACCCAGCATAGTATCTAGCATATAATAAGCAGTTAAACAAAAAAATGGGAAAAGATATGTTAACACGTACATCTATATATTACCGATAACTTTTTTAAAGTGTATCTAGTGTCTTCTTTTTTACCAATCTGTCATGAAAGGAGAGGCCCAGGGAAATTCTCAGATAACCACCTCCAGCCAGTGTTCTTTCTCACTTGGGAAACTTTGGACACAACCCAGGGGCTTACAGGGTTTTCCTTCCCTTCAACCTTCTCACAATACCCCCTTGCCATAATGTACACCCAAAGATAAGCCCTTAAGGTTCACAATTTTACTTTGAAGTTAGGAGATCTCAGGGGATAAACACTAAACCATAGAATTTTAGTACCAAAGTGTCAATTTAAAGCTACAAATAATTTTCAGCATTTGCAGGCTTGGCATCACCTGGGAGGTTCACAGCGTCTCTATTCTGGCAAAACCACAAGTGACCTTTTGTCTGGGCTAATGTAAAGCTGGTCTCTACTTATTCGTTCTGGAAAAATGGAGACAGAATATAGATGTTTTTAAATGAAAGATAAAGTAATGTGGTTTGGTGCATTAGTGGCATGAAATGTTCTCTTTCTCTGTAAGGTTTTAGACTGTCCTGTGTGAAAAGCATGTTCACTGTGCTTTGTCTGAGTTTGGGGAGACAGAATACCTGTGCATGCAATAAGTTACAGGAATCCAGCTTATTACTTACAGCTAGGCAGCAGACAACAGAAGCCTGAAATTCACGTGAGACAGTCCCCCAAGGCTTAGGAAAGCTTCCTGGGGCACCCGGAACCTCATCTGCACATGCCCACCTGCACCAGCGCTGAGGACTCCAGGAAGGCAGCTCACCCTGGGTTTTATACCCAAGGGAAACAAGAATCACTGGGCTAAAGCATTGAAGGACATCTTGTTTTGGGGGTGTGGGGTAGTGGAGGGACTAGAACAGATCCCAGGATGTTGGATTCCCAGCACATTCTAATTATTCTTGAGAGCTACAAGCCAGAAAGTGGGAAGAACTGGGCCCAGTCCAAGGCCTCGAAAACTGTCCTGCACTACACTTTTATTGTTGACTTGTTCTGAGAAGGGGTGTGTGTGTGTGTGCGCGTGTGTGTGCATGTACCCATGTCTACATGCAGGACATATAGGACAGCAGGAGTGGAGAGACTCCATAATCAAGCTCTTCACCTCAAATTGGAGAGGAATCTGGCAAAAGATTGGACTTTTTGAAAATCAGATAGGATAAGGGCTTGAGCCATTTAGGGTTGAGCACTAAAATTTCATGACACATTCTATCTGATAGAATTCCATGCAACCTTAAAAGAAGAATGAGCTCCAAAGTATTTTGTTTAGTATGAAACTCAACATTCAAAAGAGTTTGTGTAAGGCTGGGTGTGGTGGCTCACACCTGTAATCTGAGCACTTTGGGAGGCAAAAGTGGGAAGATGACTTAAGCCCAGGAGTTCAAGACCAGCATGGGGAACATGGCAAAACCCTGTCTCTACAAAGTAAGAAAGAAAGAAAAAAGAGAGAAAGAGAGGAAGGAAGGAAGGAACAAAGGAATGAAGGAAGGAAGGAAGGAACAAAGGAACGAAGGAACGAAGGAACGAAGGAACGAAGGAAGGAAGGAAGGAAGGAAGGAAAGGAAAGGAAAGGAAAGGAAAGAGGGAAGAAAGATTAGGTGGCATGGTGCTATGTACCTATATGAGCTACTTGGGAGGCCAAGGTGGGAGAATCACTTGAGCCCAGGAAAGCAAGGCTGCAGTGAGCCACGACTACGCCACAGCACTTCAGCTTGGGTAACAGAGAGAGACACTGTCTCAAAAAAAAAAAGGTCAAAAGAAGGGTGTAAAAATCTAAGAAGCATAAGATAGAATATCTTTAGGAGGATATGCAAGAAAATGATGACAATGCCTGATTTCTGTAGGATCTGGGAAACTTGGGGGAAGAGAATGGAGATTTTTTTTTTTTTTTTTTTAGAAGGAGTTTCGCTCTTGTTACCCAGGCTGGAGTGCAATGGCGCGATCTCGGCTCACCGCAACCTCCGCCTCCTGGGTTCAGGCAATTCTCCTGCCTCAGCCTCCTGAGTAGCTGGGATTACAGGCACACACCACCATGCCCAGCTAATTTTTTGCAGTTTTTAGTAGAGACGGGGTTTCACCATGTTGACCAGGATGGTCTCGATCTCTTGATCTCATGATCCACCCGCCTCGGCCTCCCAAAGTGCTGGGATTACAGGCGTGAGCCACCGCGCCCGGCCGAGAATGGAGATTTTTTTTAACCATATTTTTGTATTTTTTTTTAAAGGCATGTATGTGTAGAGCCATTAACAAAAAATACATGTTAGGCCAGGTATGGTGGCTCACACCTCTAATCTCAGTACTTTGAGGTTGAGATAGGAGGATTGCTTGAGACCAGAAGTTTGAGATCAGCCTGGGGAATACAGCAAGACCCACACGTCTACAAAAAAATTTTTAAAAATTAGCCAGACAAGGTGGTAGGTGCCTGTACTCCAAGTTACTTGAGAGGCTGATGTGGGAGGATCACTTGAGGCCAGGAGGTCGAGGCTGCAGTGATCCATGATTATGCCACCACACTCCAGCCTGGATAATAAAGGAAGACCCTGTCTCAATTAATTAATTAATTAATTTAATTAGCTGGACTTGGTGGTGTGCACCTGTATTCTTACCTACACAGGAGGCTGAGGCAGGAGGATTGCTTGAGCCCAAGAGGTCGAGGCTGTGGTGAGCCATTATCGTACCACTGCATTTCAGAATTTTGAACATTGATTCCCTGGTCACTTGCTCCTTGTGTATCCAGATCCTAGACAAATAAAACCATCTGACTCCCCTTTAACATGGATGAGTAGGACCCCCTCTCGAAAGAGGGGTGGAGACTGACCAGCACACCCTACCGGTTGAATAGTGCCTTCCCGTAGCAAATATTTATTGAGCATCGGCTGAGTGGCAATCACTGTTTTAAGTACTAGGATATCTCAGTGAGCAAAACAGGCCAGGACTCTGCCTTTCTGAGGCTGACATTCTCCTTAGGGGAGACAGACAGTATACACTGAATATGAATTGTGGTTCTCTCAGTGTCTCCAGACAGAAGGGTCTCATCCTCACCTTCTAAAATATGTAAGTAATCTCAGTTTTCAGAATGACAAGGCTTAGTCCAATAAAATTCTTGCATATCTTGTTTCGCCTTGGCCCTCTCAAGCAGTGTCCCTAGGCCCCTGGCCTCTCTGTTTCAGTTTCTTCACTGGTGAAATGGACATGGCTATTTTAAGTATTAACAGAAGACTAGCAGTTCTAGCATGGGTGCAATCACCTGAGGAGCCTTCTGGCATGAAGTGTCCTGGGCCCAGTTCCAGTGATTCTCATTCTGTGTGTCTAAGGTGGGCCCAGCAATCTGTCCCAAGTCAATTGGGTGATTCTGAGGCAGGTGGTTCTGGAAGGGACCACTCTGACCCCTCTTGGAGAGCACTGTACTAGATGTTGGATGTGAAAGAAAGGGAAAGTTCTCTCTCAATGACAGCTGTATTCATGCCATGCACAAGAGCACCCTGGATTAACTATCTCTGGCCTCTGTGTGGGTGGCCAGGAAAACAGCCCTCAGGTCTTCTGCTGTAGGGAACATGATTGATGGCTCCAGCTGTCGCCTTCTGAATTTACCTCTGTCTTTGTGCTGAAGCTGACCCCAGCTAATGACTGAGCAGGATATGGCTGCTAATGCGGGCTCATTCCTACAAAACACAGATCTGCTGTCACAAAAGACTTTGGCTTGAGGAGTCCCCATTGGCCTGATCAGAATATTCTAGAAACTGTGCTGCAGGCTGAGACTCTTTCTATGTAATCCTCCTTTTCCTGCCTGTTCTTTTTTGCAGGTGTCAGATGTGCACTGCCGTCTAAAGGCTCTTCCTGCCTTCTCCAGTACTCCTTATTCTTTACAGGTGTTAGCTCAATAAATCTCTTGCACATTTTTGTCTTATATTGGTATCTTCTTCTCCAAGGACCTGAACTCGTATGCTTGGCTTGGTCTCTAACATCAAGACGGCCTTCAGTAGTGACCTCTGCTGTACCCTTATTGCCACACTCCTGATTGAAGCAGCACTTGTGCAGTGTGGTAATGTGCACAAGGGGAAGTAAGGTCTAGCCCCTCCACTATAATTGTATCCTGTGTTCAGCCATGATGCCATGGTCCCAGTGCCTCTCAGGAGTTGTTGCTGTAGAGTATTGTTCAGAGCATTGATTCTGGGGCTGGCTCATCCTGCTTTAAATCCCAGCTCTTTATGACCTCAGGCAAATTACTTAACTTCTCTGTGCCTTATCAGCTGTGTATTTAACTACTATCACAGAGAAGTAATTTGTACTTATCTGTGCTTATTAAATGTATCTGTGCTTATTATAAATTATCACAGTTAAGTAATTTGTACTTAATACTTAACTTCATAATACTTAAGTACAAATTACTTAACTTCTCTGGGATAACACTCACCTCAGAGAGTTACTGTTTGGAAAAGATGATCCTGGCGCTGTGGGTGGGCTGTCTGCCTCACAACAATGTGTTATGATTTAGGGAATGGCGGGCAAGGGCCCTGCCCTCTGCCCCTGCCCCCTGCCCACAGAGCCTAGAAATAGCTCTGTGTGGTTTCTGCCACTCCTTCAGGTGGAGAGGCCACATAGTGCTGGAACCACCCTGGTTCCAGGCCTGGCTCTGCCACTTCCACTGACAGGATCTCTATAGGTCATTTTCTTTTTCTAACATGCAGTTTCTTTGTGAATTCAGGAAGTTGAACATCTCCCAAAGTTGGACTTGACTTCTAGCCCCAAGATTCTACAAACGGATAGTACTCTCCAGAGGCAAACTTCATCTTCTTCCCTTCTGTCCATGAAATGGACACTTACTTTATATTATTATCTCAGTCACTGGTGATTCAAAAACGAAAAGAGAAAGCCTTTGCTCTCAAGTCACTCAGAATCTTCTAGGGAGACACACATGTCCACAGATAATTACAACACAATGAAGGGTTTCTGGCCACCCAGAGATAAAGGACTTCCGCCTTGGTTGTTACTGACCTCCTATCTTGGGAAGTGGGAGAGGTGCAGGAAATACTTTCCTGATCGCGTTCGGCTCAAAGAGGAAGGACAGTGTGTTTCAATGTGTTCTGGTTAAAGAAAAAAGTGTGTTTATTTTCACTGAGAAGAAGAAACTGAAAACTCTGGCATTTAAATAAATAGGAAGAATTTATTTTTCCTTTTCAGGTCATGAAGCTAGTTAATGATTAGTGAAACCCACGTGGGTGTTTCCTGAGAGGCTGGGTTATGTGATCTCTTTGGCTTTAGAGAATTACTCCATACCAGCTCTGAGATCTCCAGCTCAGCGATGCCCTCAGGTCCCTGGAAGAGCTGCTTTTGGGTCAGGGGCCTCCTTTTGTGGCTCAGTGTTGGAAGTGCAGGTAAGCCAGGGCTCAGGCCTTGGGAGGAACTTATTTCAGTCCATGATCATATTTCTCCAACTACTTATGGAAATATCAACTTTTGGAAGATCCCCTAAAAACCTTTCACCTCTTCTGAGATGCATTTAAAAGAGTAGGGAAAATAACCCTCTTATCATAATCGGAATGATGGTAAACAGAACATTTTCTCAGGTCGCAAAACCGGAACTTTCCCTGGTTATCTGACTCATTTTTCTAAAACCCACGTAAAAACTCTTTTCACCTTGCACAAACCAGGACTAACTGTAAGAAAATGAAATTTGGTTAATTCTAAAATATTCATTTTCATCCCACAAATATCCACCATTCCAAGATATATTTAATTTTACAATTCAGGTTTTCCAAACTAATAACGATTTTGCCATTGAGATTGTTAGATGTCCTTTATTTTCCAGTAGCCTCTGGAATATAAACTCCAGAATATAAATGCTCAAGTGGTTCATCATTCCAGCTGGGTGATGGAAACTAGTCCTGCTAACCTCAGATGTCCCTTAGCATAGCTTCCCTCAGATGGCAATTTGCATTTTAGCTTTCCCCTGGTAAAGAACTGGCCCACTGCCAACCTCCCCATCCCTTGCCTAACATAGCAAATTAACCTGCTCCACCTTGGGTCGCAGTGAGGTTCTCAGAAAACCCCTTCTCACTCTGGTGGTGAACTCACCCTTAGAAAAATCCCCTCCCCCTTGCTCCCAACAGCAGGCTGCTTTTCTGTCTTCTCCGTCGGACATTTAATTCTCATTCCCTGGCTCTAGAACATGTCATTGCTTCTGCCTGGAGTTGCTCACATCACCTTTGGACTAATTTCTGTTCTTTGCATCTTCCACGGGGGCTTCTTATTCCTGTCTCCCTTGCACTTGTCCTTTTTCTGCTTAGCATCCCTCCCTGCTCCAAAGTTCCATCTGGGTGACTGTATGCTCTGCTTGCACTGATGGGTGGTTTTTTTTTCAAAGGTGCTGCTGAGATGTGCTTTCTCCTACCTCAATTATTTTTTCCTAAAAGGTGAGGATTTGAGGCCTCTGTCTCTTTTAGCTTTCTTAGAGCTGTGCTCTATATACAGCGGATGCCCAGTGAATGTTGCTGCATTGCTGCTTAGAGGAGGCAATGGGTTGAGCTGATGAGGAATAGGCTCTGTCTGGGTGAGGCTAACCTGGACTGGAATCCTGGCTCTGTTTCCTAGTAGCTATGCGACCTTGAGAAAGTGGCTTTCTTTACCTGTAGTTGGAAATGATCCTTACCATATAGGAATACTGTAAGGACTGATTGAGACCATCTGTGCACAGGGTCTGACTTTTGCAGTTGTTTATTCCCTTGTGATTTTATTATTAGCAAATGGTTGTCTAGGCTGATGGAAGTGGAGGGAACAGGACTGTCATGAGCCACTTGGAGAGAAGGTGAGAGGTGTCACCTGGGAGAGCTGTGGGTCCCGTTCAGATAATTGGGCTTGGCAGGCCCACTTGGTCTCTGCTCAGGAGCCCCAGGACTCCTAAGGGGCTGGAAGACGTTTGCTAGTTGTCCTGATTTGAGGGTTGAGGAGTGGGAGTAGCAAATTGGCATCAAACTCTTGTTGGAAGCTCATCTCTCAGTAAGTCTGGGACTTCGGTCACACAGATAAGAGGAGCTCACAAATTCTGAACCAGGTGGCAGGGTTAGGGTGAGGGCAGAATCTGATTGGGTTCCAGCCACATATGTGGGAAACATTCTAGATGCTCTGGGCAGGAATGGGCTTATAATAACATGTTAGCGGGGCCTGGGGGTTTCCTTGCCTGGTCCTCTTGTCTTTGTTTGTCTCCGGTGTCTTTCTTTCCACACTTACCCGGTGAGGAATTCTCTATTTACCATCTGCTTCTCGTTATTTCCCACCTTAACTGTTTCACTGTCAACAGCGACAATGTTAACTTAATGTTCCTTACTCTTACTTTTAGCAGTGGTATCTCAGAAATTGAGTTGATGGATAGGTAGAGATAGGAGTGTGTGTGTGTGTGTGTGTGTGTGTGTGTGTGTGTGTGTGAGAGAGAGAGAGAGATAGAAATATGCCACTGGGAAAAGGAAAAAGAATGTAATTATCTTCAGATAGCCTAGAGGAAGTAGGTGGAAAGAAAGAAGATGGCGGATGCAGAGAACTCAAGGAAAGGAAGAGCTCAAACAATAGGGAGGGAGGAGATTCAGGAGGTACCCAGGTGCCTGCTGTCACACAAGGACAGTAGCTGACCCACATGGGCCTCTTGGAAGTTCAGCCTCTGCTCACTTTCCTGGCCAGGTGCCTGCACAATCTTTCATGGCAACCCCAGTCACACCCAGCCTTTCCTTGGACTGTGGAGGGTGAGATTTTTGGGCTCTTTGATCAATCTGGCTCTTGAGCTTCCAGGCCGGCTCAGGCGTCCTCTCTTCCAGGTGGGTGCACAAGTAAGTCTTCCTCCATCTGGGGTAGGTGGCCTTTCTGTATGTTCTCTCCGTATACACGTTTCCTGATCACAGATCTTATATCCCTATTTGTTATGGGGCTTCCTGCTGATTTTCCCTTTCCCTGCTAGACTTGGAGCTCCCTAAGGGCAGTTATAGCTGGTGTCTTCCTCATCCTTGAATCCCCAGAGCCTCACCCAGGTCCTGGCACACAGGATGCATTCAATAAGCCAGAGGCCTTGGTTACTGAAAAGAAAGAAATTGAGCAGGATGCAATCCTCATCTCTACTTCCTGACATTAGGGCAGATTGATTAAATGACACCCATCCTGAAACAATTCAGCCAAAGAAGGGTTCCAGGGGGTGGCCCATTTCAGAGATGCTCCTGGCTGCTGATGCCTCAATCCACAGGTCGTCTAATAGCCCAGCTCTGTTTGTGGGGAGCCCAGAGCTCCTGGGGGTGGCAGGAAGTTCAGGGGCCCATTGTGCTGAGCTGGTGTCAGATACAGCTGAGGAGAAGCAGCCTGTGATACCAGCCTCTCCAAGGCTAGCCTGGGCATGAAGGTGCTGCTGCACCCTGCATGCGTGACAGAGCCACCTTCAATCCACCCTCAAGCTATGTGGGGGGCCTCCACCCTACTCCCATCCTGCAGTGTCCTCCTGAGGAGCCTGGAGGAGGGTGCCCATTTCCCAACACATGCACCAAGGGCTCCTCCATCATCTCCACATTTGATAACAAAGTGTCTGATGTGGTTTTGTGCCAACTCTGTCACCTTCAGAGCACCCTATCCCTTCTTGGTCCAGGCCACACAATCAAAACTGTTTTTGCAAAATAACACTTCTACAAAACAAAACCACATGGGAGATACTGATCTGTAGAACACACCTGAGACAGGTGCAGGTGGGAGTGTAGGGAAACACATTTCCAGCATTTACAGATCCCAGACACAACCCGTGGGAACCACGAGCAGCCCAGGAGGGTGAAGGGAGCTCTGTTATGTACACCTGAGAGTCACTTTCCATTATGGAAACATAGGTGTCACCAGGCCTTTACTCATCTTCTCCAACACTTCTTCAGTGTCAAAGACTGAAGAATAGAAAACTATAGGCTTTTTTCAGACTTACACAAGCCAGTATTTCATTCTGCACCCCTCCTTTCTATTGTTTATAAACCACTGGTCAGCCTGGCATGTCATAAATATCAAATGAGCCCAAATGGAAATTGCAAGTTTTAAGAATCAAACTGTTAAAAAAAAGATGCAAGTAATATATGCAAATATATGTAAGTGGTAAAAATTCCGTAGCTCTAAAGGCATAATATGACCTCACTATATATATTTTATATGTGCTATATATTTTTCCTTATGTAAGATATATAGTATACATTTATTTGCACATGTGTAAAATCCTTCCATATTAATATACAGAGATACCACATTCTTTTTATTAGCTGTTTACATATGGCATCTTAGGTCTGAAAAATTTCTATCTTGTACATTTTTAATAGATGTGAGAAAAACTGCCTCACACAGAGGTTATAACTGTTGATTTGTGTGTGAGCATGGCTATTTCCCCACCTCTCTGCCAGTGCTCTGTGAATGTGAAGTGTTTTTGGTGTTGTCAGCCTGATAAGAAAAATAGAATTACATTGTTTGTCTTAATTCTTATTTTTTATTATAATTAAGATTAAACATCTTTTTTATGTGTCTGTTGGCCATTTTCATTTGCTTTCAGTTAATTGCCTGTTTATGCCCTTTGTCTGTTTCTTTATTGGCTTGTTTGATTTTTTTTCTTATTTGTAAGAGTTCTATAAAAATAAGTCCTTTGGCATGTGAGGTACAAATGATTTTTACCTGCACTACTCCTTACCTTCCCCCCTACCCCACGCAGTTTCTTTTTCTGAATCATCTGGCTATTCTTGTATGATTCTAGTTGCAATTCCTCAATCTACCTGTCCTAAAAGTGGGCCCTGGTGATCTTGGTGCAGTGGCCCCTACTGTGCAGGTAGGGACATCTGCGATGAAGATGGAGGATGCTCCTTTTTAATTTCCTCAACAATCACAACGAGACTCTTCAGACTCCTAAGTTCACTGTCAGTGCCCCTCCTTGATTCAGAAAACCTCACTCCGCATGTGCTTCTGTCCTGCACAACCTCACCTCACCCAGGCCTTCAGTACCCCATGGCTCAGTCTTGAACCTCAGTCTGCTATCCTCACCCCGATATGCACCAAATCTTTCAAGCCACCCTCTTCTCTCAGGCTCTCAATAGCTGCCTGATATCTGGACTCTCCTCCTCACTCCCAATTCATGGGCATGCCCCCTGGGGTGAGGGTCCCTCTAACATCGGGATCGCCATCCCTCACTCTCAATCTTTCCCCCGGGTTCACATTAATGCCGTGTCTCACACACACTGGTTTGGCCATTCCCAGCTGGAGTGTGCTCTCTCTGAGGGTGGGGACTATATCTTTATTCCTATGCTATTTCCTCTGTAGCCCTAGCTGTCACATGGTAAGGTCTCCAGAATCTTGATTAAATACATCCTCACTGAAATTAGGTTGGTAG